CTCTTGTAGTATATTATTATATATATATATGTATATTATTATATATATATATATATATATATATATATATATATATACGTTGTACGTACGTGGTCGCGTTTAACTGTCGAAAAAGCACAGCTGTGTGCACAACGTATAAACGTACCTGCCATGGTGAGAGCCTATATCGCTTAATGTCACGATAGACGGAATCTACGATAGACGTACGTTGCCGACGCAGCGAAATACACCTACCAACTGCCGACGTCACTATAGTATGCGGGTATAAATAGGAACACGCCCATCGCTTCCATATAGCTACCTATCTCCCACCGCTGGTCATGGCGAGGTTAGAAATGTCGGAGAACCTTCTGGCAGTATTAAATTTGATTACGACAAGGACCGGCGGCGACCAAGGACAGTCGTGTGAGATATGTAAGCGGACAGTCGGGTGAGATATGTGTGCGGACAGTCGGGTCAGATATGTGTGCGAACAGTCGGGTCAGATATGTGTGCGAACAGTCGGGTCAGATATGTGTGCGAACAGTCGGGTCAGATATGTGTGCGAACAGTCGGGTGAGATATGTGTGCGGACGGATAGTCGAGTGAGATATGTGTGCGGACGGACAGTAGAGTTAGATCTATATCGCTGTGCACCGCACGAGTGCGTTCGTGCGTGGGTCGGTTTAAATAACATACACGCTATAATCATTACAGCGATCTCCATGGACATCCGCGGTAAAGTATTAGCAAGGATAGAACAGAACGCGACCCGTTGTGGCGAGGTACGCGATTGGAATATTTAGGCGATGAAGTTTGTGAGATGCACCGCAGGAATTCTTCCCCGTAATTATCTCTGCATCTTTAATCTGTCCAGCGTGGCGGCCCGCGACGAGCCCGCTCTAACGTAATCGAATAAAAACATACAGATTGCACTGTTGCGATAGGCGCGTTCGGAAAATGCTGCTTAGCAACTGTGTGCCGAAAAGTCGGCATTGTGTCGTGCACGTCCGCGTCGAAAACACGAAAAACTGCACTCGGCAGTTAGATGCGATATTGTATGACTACTAGGCACTTTAATTTAATTTAATTTTTTTTTTTTTTAGGGTTAGGGTTAGGGTTTAGGTTAGGTTTAGGGTTTAAGTTAGGTTAGGGTTAGGGTTAGGATTTTTTTTTTTTTTTAAGTGCCTAGTAGTCATATCCTAAGTGCCTAGTAGTCATATAATATCGCATCTAACTGCCGGGTGCAATAAACTCGTCTGTTAATAATCCACCCATAACGACAATATTCAAGGTGGTGGGTACGGTAAGTGATTATCTCGCTTAGACGGATCGGTTGGTTAACTGCGAAAGGGCTCCGAATGCAGACCTGCATGCTATCAGGAGTCTATCAATAGATCTATCAATATCTATTGATAGACTCCTGATATATATATATGGATCAAGAGTACATAATGGATATGGATATACATTATGCATATGGATAGCTGACGTAAATGCTAAGGGAATGGCGTTCGGAGAACAGGTTTTCATAAAAATTATACGAACAAAATAGAAGATCCAGTTGAGTCAGAGAACGCAAGTTTCCAGCATGATTGCGTTTGCCTGTGTGCAAAATTGTACATGTATTAATTATTAATTACGCTCGGCATTAGAAATGTAAAACTTCAAAAGATGGGAATTTTTTCTATCATTTTATTTTCTTATTTTCGTTCACTCAACACAATTCGCGCATAGCGAAAAATGATAGAACTATTCTTACTTCGGACGTGATTCTACAACAGTAAAAAAGGGCAGTGCAACTGCATATATCTCTGTTTCATATGTATGATACGGAATAGAATATTAAAACATAATATTATTTGACTGAATATAGAAAAAATGTAAATTCGGATTTAAGATCAACACCGATTTAATCTAATGCTCTTGATTTGTCGTCGTTCCTGGTGGTCTAGGAGAGGACACGAATATAGTTTAGTCGGTCCCGAATAGACGGGAGGAAGGTGAACAGACAGTCAAGCAGTGATTTTACCAGCAGTGACCTACGTCAAAAAATGTAAAGGAAACGGAAACGACAAAGATTGTGTACTTTCTTAATAATAGAGATGTATAGTTATTTGAGTTTAGCATGGTCAATTTAAGCAGGAGTAGATAATAGGGCCCCTATTATCTACTCCTGATTTAAGTTAGGTTGAGCTCAAATAACTAGCAAGGTTATATGAATGCATCTCTTCGTTGTCGCCGAACATGTATTATAATAATAAACGATTTGTTTAAAGTTTAATCGTATTTAATCGAGCGAGCTACATTAAATACGATTAAACTTTAAACAATTCGTTTATTATTATAATACATGTTCGGCGACAACGAAGAGATGCATTCATATAACCTTGCTCGTGCCCACCAGTATTCGACTGCGCATGCGCATCGGCAACACGAGCAATGAGCAGTAACTTGTCGTCAGAATCACGGATCGAACGGTATTCTGTCCGTGGCCGTGGTTGCATCCGTGGCGAAGCTTACAGTAGGATCCGTAGCGGCTGCGCCGGTGTTAACCGCAGCCGGTGACGAGCCGGTAGATGCCGCCTCTGTCGTCGCCGCCGTCGACGAAAATTCCATCGTAGCGAAGGTGGCGGTGGTGGTGCACTCAGCTGTACACGCGCACGCACAGACACATACACGCGCACGCACAGACACACACACGCGCATCCATTTATACAGTTGATGAAATTACCTCTGTGTCCATGTGTTCGTCTTGGTCCTCGTCTTTACACTTTACCCGCCTTCTGACGCGTATAGTCCGTCCCATTTTCTCACAGGAGCAATGCCGCATGAGCATCTGAATAGAACACAACCCTGACTGTAAACATCTAGTCATATAATAGTGACTGAACATTATACATGATATATATATATATATATATATATACGCGTGATCGTAAATGGTGTAAATGATGCACTGCGCATATATTACGACGCACGGCTAAATGCAGCACATTACAGGACGATTATGCCAACCATAGAAATAATGTAGATGACTATATATTTATATATATATTATCTATGTTATTTCTATATTATTTCTATGATGTCAACCATGTCCCGCCCCGATCACCTACTGAGTGCGACGCGGAGTAAAAAGTAGTTCGTACCTGTTCACCGGGACCTTCCTCGCACGAGGCGGCAGAGCACATGTCCTTAAACTTCCACTCGTCGCACTCTACCTCGCTGCCCTGGCAGTTTCTCATCACCCTGCTCTTGCCTCGGTTTCCCATCGCCCTGCCCTTGCCTCGATTTCTCATCTTCATTGCGCTTCCAAACACCTGCGAGAGCATTCATAACCCTTGCTTATAATCATCGTTATTACTATTACTTATGATGGGTAATTAATATAGACATAGTATCTGGAGTAAATAATAATAGCTATCCATTATTATTCTATCTATTATTTTTAATCTGTTATTATTCACTCCGGATAGTATAGTATGGTATATCTCCTGTTAGAGGAAAGAACCCGTAGACTTTATAGTCTCTCGATCATCTGTAATCCTCTACAGAGATTTCGATAAAGAGTATAGATTTGGTATAGATTTAACAGCGCGTTCGATAACTGCCTAATTCACATCTTGCTAACGATGAAGAAAAACAATTGCTCTGCGAAATTTTGCATTGAATTCTATATATCTAAATGGGTATTTATTGCGATATATATACATATAATATATATAATTATATACAAGGGTGTATGCCAGGACAATTTCAGTGCCGCTTAATATCAGTGATTGTGTCCTATGCAAAAAGTAATTATATAATAGCAACAGTGGTGCTGTAGCGCAGCTAATATACTGCACTGGTACTGTGCGCTGTACGATGTGACAATGGATGATTTACGCAAAATTATGTTGTGAGATTAAACTCGAGTTTGAACCTCGGAAATATTGAAACTCCAATACCAAAGCAGTAGTGTCAGCAAAATAGTATGATGTTTTCTTCAACACAACATATGCTCGCACAGGAGTGCACGCAGAACCGTGCCGTCGCCACAGTCCCTCGTCCATCTCCACAACCAAGAGAGCCTTCCCCTTATACTATTTCTAGATAAAGAAAGAACGTCGGCTCGCGCGCCCGACACACCGACATGTGCTGCCCACATGTACAACAACAGATCCCTCTCAAGCCGTTTCGCATCTCCATCATCGCATAGCTAACAACTAAGCCGCTACCGCGAACCAACTGACATTATGCAACCCCTTGTCGCGACATTTTCTAAACAAAACTTACATTTACCATCTGGCAAACCATACTTTAACATACCTCCTTTCGCTCGAAGACGATGGCTTCTATAAGCCATTACTTTAGCGCGTCGCCTAATCTACAAATACACCCTAATCTTAATCCTAACCCGTACGTACACACACACGCAGCACGCACGCGACAGCACACACACATCACACACACACACACACACACACACGCGTGGCGCGCGGCGCGCGCAGACACACACGCAGACCCTGTCTCTCATCCTGGCTATGTAGACAATCCAACATTAGCCCAAATTTCTCGTACCCTACAACTATATACAATATCTCTTCACCGAACACCAATTAATATACCTCAATACAATAAATACAGTTTGAACAGAAAATCCATGATGACACTATAATACAGACAATCGATACACAGATACACATAACCAACAATCAAAATACATATAAAGATCACATATGAACGTAGAAACAAGTACGATAAAGTCTACAGCAATAACAAATCAGAAAACTCAAACATTTGCAGTAACCATTTTGATATCGCTGCAATAATTTCACTCTTGCGTATTTTGTATGAGCTTAAACGTAGCGTGGCGTATGCGTAGCGACACGACATTACCGGAAACCCACGTTTTATATCTGGATTAAATCATCATAATCACAGGGCACACAAGGGCCCAGCACACAGGCATTAATGAAACACGGCCACTGAGTGCGTACTAACCACTTGCCACACATCATACGGCCACAATAATCATCAATATCATTCCATTATATCATAGAGACAGCCAAAAAAGCGCACACTGAATTCATATTTTCGATGAAATGTTTTTGGCCTATAATCAAACCTGATTAGATTGTTCGCAGCGGTCTAACAATATAGTGGAACCGTACCGCACTGTTAGCACAAATTAAGAAACGATCACAATTCTAAATCAAAGTTACACAACAAAGATTTCCACACATAAAATGCACCTTTTTGTCACTAAAACCAGGTTGAGGGAACAAAAAAAACGTATAATGCATGCCTGCATGGTGTATACAGGAAAAACGTTCGAGAGTATTAACGTTTTATAATAACGTTTTCACTTTAAATTACGAATAAACTGCCGACACAGGGTTGATCACATCTATTTTAAGTATTTCCGTTTCCGCAAGAGCATTATATATGCCGTGTTCTAGACTACAATATACTCTGCCGAGTTCGAGCGTCCACAGCCTTTCCCAAACCATATCATCTGTGCTTTGCAACTTACCGCGTCGCAGCCGCTCCATAGTATATCACTATACACCTTCGTAACACTATACTTATATCACGTACGGTGTATTACTGGCTCTATATCTTACGGTACTTACAGTACAGTATCTTAGGGTGCTTACCTTCTAGCGTATCGATTATTCCGTTTCCCTGACACGTTAATGTGGAGGATTTCCCAGCCGTATATGCCTGTGACACAAAATCCGCGTAGTCTCCTCTCTCGACGTGTATAGCGACTTGTCTTACAAGACATAACTTTACCCGCGTTATTCTAACCTCGTTTTCCATGCGTTAACGGACGCAATGAACGTTTGTGTCGGGGCCTCTTCGGCCTTTACTCACACCGCGTGCCACCGACGCTATCTATCCCTAGCCGTGTAACGCTCTTTATACTTAGTCACCCTAAATAACGCTCTATTGTGGCATCAAACCGTCCGCCACAGGCCAATATGTCAGTATACTTAGCACTCAAGGCGACAGTAAACAGCGTAGCACAGACGAAATTTACACTAGAAAACTGCACACTAGCACCCAGTTAAAAAACCAACCGAGCATTACACTATATCTTTCTCTCTTCTCTCCAGGCTTCTTCTCTCGCTTCCGTTGCTCTGTCTGCTCGCGCAGTCGACAGTTGCATTCTGTCCTCAACCCAACCACCACGTCTCTCCACCTCTCTCACTCCTTCTTCTGTCTCCTTGCTCTCTCGTCCCGCCTCCTGTTATATCTGTCCATCTTTCTCTTTCTTCTCAGTTTGTTTCTTCCGTGTTCGTTGCTCGTGATCTTTCGTAGGCTCTGCGTATTGTCCGCAAACACGTTTACGATCCTGGTCATGGCAGCCCAAATGTACGACGAAGGATGACGGTACGTTTTAATGTAGATCGTGTTTGTAGCGATGAATATTGAAACTCTAAAAACCAAGCAGTATGTTCAGGCAAAATAGTATATTGTTTCTGCAAACAACATATCTCGCACACGCAGGGCACCGCAGACGTACGTGCCCTCGCGCACTCCCGTCGTCTCCGCACACCATTAGAACTTCCCCCTTTACTACTTCTAAGATAACAAAGACGTCGGCTTCCGCCCCAGACAACCGACATGTCTGCCCCACCCTGTACAACAACTCCCTCTCAACCCGTTCGCATCTCATCATCCATCACTCTACCAACCACGCTACGCCGACCAACACATTATGCACCCCTTGTCGCGACCATTTTCTTAAACACAACTATATTTTCATCTTGACAAACGCATCTTACATTGTTGTTAAATTTAAGTTCGAAGTGTATGCAGTTCTGAATTATTTGTAGATTGCTCACTATTTTGAAGATAATTTTACACAAACTCCAATTATTTTTGTGCCGGCCGGAAGGATATTATTTAAAGCTGATGACGATGTCTATATATATATATAATGATATATTATAATATATAATTATATATAATATATATATACCATACATACATAATATAGGTTCGCGCAATATATATAATATTATATCAAGAGTAGATAAATAACAGTTTCGATATATATATATATAGTCAGAGATAGTAATATGTTATGGTTTAGGTTTAGTTGATTAGTATATAATGACCTGACATCAAGAGCAGATAAAGAAGGTATCTTAAGGCTTCTTTATCTGCTCTTGCTGACATGTATATATGTATATCCGTGCGTGCATGTGCGCCGTGCCTCAACGTTAATGGTCTGTGCATTTGCGAGTATTTCTAGGTTGTAGGTGGTTGCGATTTTGCACCCTGGTGCTGTTATCACTGGGCGGTAAGCAAATCACTCATAATAGTGGATCAGGAGTTGTATAATATATATATGCGTATATTGTATATATATATATATATACTATATATATATATATAATACCATATCATAGATACCATATCATTACTCGATACCATATGATAATACATATATACCATACATATAATACCACTAATCATACATAATATAAGGTTAAACGTGCTATAAGTAAGG